ACAGCATCCTCTTTAAACTTAAAAAAACATCTACGAGTTGCACAATTTAGGAAACAAACGAATCTACGAATTACGCACACCTCACTTTAATAAATTAACATAACAAATTTTAAAGAATACCATGTACACAGCGTCCTGTTTCAACTTAAAAGAACATCTACGAATTGCACAATTTAGGCAACAAACGAATTTATGAACTACGTACACCTCACTTTAATAAATTAACATAACAATAAATTTCAAAGAATACCATGTATACAGCGTTCTGTTCCAACTTAAAAAAACATCTACGAATTGCACAATTTAGATGATACGCACTAATCAACAACTAAAACAAATTTCAAACAATTCAAAAAAAGAACAATAACGACAGAAATTCATACTAAAAAACAATGAACATAACATTCTACAAAATAAAATGCACTTACCAGAAATAAAGGCTTTTTCGAACAGCAGAAATACCAATTTCATACCGCCTTTAACATGCCGCCACGTAATCACTATCCAGAAAATTCATACTATGGTTCACAAATAAAAAGAATAACAAATAATTACAAATCCCTACTTCTATCATGCACAGCCACTAAAAATAATCTCCCAGACCCTCTTTCCACACCTCCAAATACCCACTGCCCCTCAACAGGATGGACACGACAATATTTCCTTTTGCCGAACTTCAATTCAACAACTTTCGCCATTTTACCTTTCCCTCCCTAGCTTCTCATACACAGAGCATGACGTGAACCAACGAAAGATTTTTCAACGTCAACAGGGTTGCCATACAACACGCAATCGTGCCAAAAACCAGCGCAGAACACATATCGCCACATTTGGTGAAATTAGGACGTATATCAGAGTTGCACCTTCATTTATAATAAAGTTTTCACATGATTATATGGATTTTTTTATTTGAGATATTGTAACAAAATAATATCTAAAAAATATTTAATGTTTAATGAACAAAATATTTAATAAAATAAATAAATATATATATAACAAAATAAATTGTTCCAAAAGAATCTAGTAAAATTAAAATTTAAATAATTCTCTTGCGCCATTGCTGCAAGGAATGAAATTTGAATTTAACAAACATTCTCTATTCGTAAAAAAGCAAATTTAAAGTTAATTAAATTTTAAATGAAATTGAATTACAAATAATGATTAATTATTGTTGCGAACAAATCTACAATATTTAAATTCTGAGAGCATATGTAAATTAAATGCAAGTATCAGATTGTTTTGCTGTTGAAGAAGAGGGATCGCCATCATAACCAAAAAAGCTTTATTCAAAATTGGTGCCAATTAAAGATTGCCAACTTTTTAATGCTATCAATTATTAAAAGTTATGTGTACTATAAATTATGAGTTAACTGATCTTTTTTATCTGGAATAAATATAAAATAAGCAGAATAGAATGCCTTATTTTGATATTTCAAAACAAAATATGTTTATTATATATATGGAATCTCTCATGACAGTTTCTTCAGAGTGAGACTAATACTTCTGAGAACACAAATAACAGTATTTAACATCACTAATTTTCATGTCCTGTAAGGCAACCACCTCTATAAAAAGCCAAAGCCATCCAAAACTGCAGATGATCATCTCGGACAGGTCTCACTATTTGTGTTTGCTAACGGAAGAACACCACTGGTAAAAGTTTACAATTGGGTGTCGCTTGTTTTTTGATGCCAAGATCGCCGCCAGGAAGGCACAATTTCAAGGTGGCTGCTACACAAAACCAAAATAAGAAGTTAAAGAATTGTACAAACTTTGTGTCCATGTACACATCAATCTGTTTTCACTTAAAAAAACATCCTAGAATCGCACAAACTAGGCACTGCACACTGTCTTAAATTTATCCATATACACATCAATCTATTTTCATTTAAATAAAATCAGGAAGCTAAAACAAAGTTAAAACTATCATGGTAACCAAAAGTGAGGTTTCATCCCCAAAATTAAAAAAAAAAATTGTCGCTAATTGAAGGGGCACCCAATTCTACACTAGAATACAACTACAATTCTACACTAATCTCATTCATTTACATTTTTAAACTCGAAATATATTTACTCATATATTCCCCCACCCAGTTTTTTAGCATATAATTTAGAAACTTGCGACTCTCGGTAACAATGTACAGTATATGCAGAAATAGAAAAAGTATTTTGTAAAAGTAAAAAGAGTGCAACTGAAATTGATAACTTCTTTGAAATACATTAATAATATTAGTTTATCTTTATGTGTGCTTTTTAATATCCTTTGTTTACCATTTAAGCCTTCTATTCTGATATAATATACAACATATGTCCTTCCCTGTTTGCAAACAATAAAATTTATAGGAAAAATACATCAGCAAATATGGTTACTCTTTAATTTAAAGAATTTAATTTGCTCACATTTAGAAAAATGTAAGCAGAATCATTAGTTTTAAGAATATTTAAGGAATATCCTTAAAAACTCTAAAATGATATTGCCAAGTGAAGAACCATTCAAGTATATTTTTGCTACTGCTACATCTTCCTTTTTGCTTCATACTTCCTATTCCACAAAAATAAAAACCTTAGCTGTTATACAAACAAAGTCACTGGGCTAATTTTTGGAATATGGTAACAGGTAGTTTGGTGACATTTTGGTAAGACGATAAAGGTTACTAGCTAGGACTTTAGCAGTGTACATGTATAAAGTCAAGAGTGTGTGCAATGCCATTTTTGTGCAATTCTGAGATTTTTTTTAAACGAAAATATTTCGACGTGTACATGGATACCATATATGTGCAATTCTTAAAAACGCGGCAAGCACTGAGCGATTCTGCACTTTCTCCTAATTTCGCGCGTAATCTTCGTATGATTAAGCATTTTTGTTCTATAAAAGTTCTAGCATAAGCGTAATTCGGCTAGCAGATTATTAGAAAAAAACGTTGAGTTAAAAAAAAAAAAAAAAAAAAAAAAAAATGCATTTACTTTGTGAAAACAAAATGGTGTCCAAAACAAAACTAGCAGGTTGCTGTAGCACGGTTGGTCGCCAAATTTTTGCCAAAAAATCGCCACGTTACCATAATCCAAAGATTAACCAGTCACTGTTATTTAAATAATGAGGCCATAGCCATTATTTATCAGCAACAAAAAATAAAAAATAACTTTAATTATAAATTCAAGTGATGAGTAAGTAAATCATACATTTCGAAACTAAACCAAAAGAGTTGAAAATCAAATACAGTTTACATATACCATAAGATATTAACAAAAATTATATAAAAGAGTACTCTGAAACATGCTAGAGCAAAATTAACATTAAAATAAGAGAAGAATATGGTATTAAATGGGCAGAATCAAACTTTTGAAAACTAGTAATTAAATTTACCTCAAATTTTACTGATGTATTCAGTACACATTCAATAACTATGGTGCACTTCAAAACAAATTAGAATTAAAATAAAATGTGGATTAAATTTTTGTGTTAAATTAAAAAGACAAGACACACACGCACACATTTACCAAATGTTAAAATACATTAAAATTGTGATACAGTAATGAAACTGCATGAGGGAATGAATTAACACAACTGTCAAATATGTTCTTTTTCATAAGAATTATTACGAAATCATAACTGAACTTGAATTAAAGTTCCTTAGATCTATTTGTATTTGTGTGTGTATTTAGGCCCACCAGTGGCCGAGCGGTAAAGTCGCTGAACACTGGTAGTTCGGTCCGAGGTTCGAATCCCGCAAACGGGTTGGCTGCATGGGTGTTTTCGTGGTTTTCCCCATGTGTAATGTGTATACAAGTCGGTTTTCCTTAGAAAGTCCTTCACAAAGGCATCCCTCCCCTTAGGCAGATAGCCCTAGTGTGCTTTGCCATAATTAAATACACCAATACACCTTAGATCTAATTGACTGCATTAATAATTACATATATCTTAGAAATGATCATTTCTGAATAATAAAATTCTTTTTTAAATTTCATATGGCTGAAAAACAGATAAATTTCAGAAACTTAGTTGAAAGCATTGCTACAGTACTTCTAACAAAATTACAAATTTCTATTAACAACTTTTTACTCAGAATTGAAAAGTTACTGATATTTGCATTTTATTAGATTAATAACAAACATCTCATCAATAATTTGTTCTTACTTATGTGAAAAGATGTGAATTAGCAAAAGCTATACTTTAAGTGAATTATGAAAATTTTACCATCTTATAAATTAAATTTATAATTTCGAATGTACATGATCCAAACGTAAAACTTCATGTAACATGATAAATGCTTCACATTACAAACATCATAGAAATACTTTTTTAACGTATGTGGAATATATATTCTGGTCAATATTGAGATCTACGACAAATATAAATATGCAGGTAATGTAAAAACACCCTCACATAATTAGTCCATCAATTTTTGTTTCGGGATTAGAAACAAAATTTAAGACAAACTTCTTGAGGCCCCTATAGCAGCCATTCATTGCTTAACAATGCCACAATCAAAAGCGAATTTTTTTTTTTTTTCAATATGAGCTACTTAACTTGATACTGTAATCACAGAAAATGAATCATATTGCAAAATGAAATTTACTGATGCGAGATAATAAAGTTTATCAATAGATATATTTTCATAAGTTTCTAAATTATTCAACTTAAACCTTGAAATAACAGCTTAACAATATATCACATTTGAAATCAAGCACTGATGAAGATGGTATCAGAAAAGAGACTATTTGTCTGGCACAGGCACAGAAAATCTAATGTTCATTGTCAGAATAATAGTTATTACAAGAAATTTTTTCAATAACCATCAGAATTTTATAATAAATGAAAAATAACTTACGAATTATCTTAATCACTAAAGTTAAAATCTGTGATTTCAGCTTTCCAGTGATACCAAACGTGCATATAACATTTTTGTTATAAGTCTTCATCATTGCTCCAGCAAATTTTAATGTTAGCTTATAATGCAAAAAATCAGAAATTTATAAGCTAGTACTCAAAATATGGCCAATTTCATAATCACAATGCATCGAAATATTTACTAATTATATTTTACAAAAAAGATATCTAGTTTTATTTCAATAGTGTTAAAATATATGATACGTGCTTAGATCAAACTGTAACATCATCTTCTAAAACGTGGATTTATATACAGTGTTCTGAATAATAAGACAGTAAATTTTTTTTTTTTTTTCTACAAATTAAAAAATAATCAGCCTCGATTCGCATATGCAGTAAATATGGGCACAGCTCCTGATTTTGCAATATCTTTTGCTTTCCGGGCTTTTTCACAAATTTTATCTTTATCTATCAGGCTGGACTTTTCTTGCAAAAGTGGAGAAGGAAACATGTTCGATAACACGAATTCTAATCCTTTACACGTCTTTGTGACATTCTTTTCAAACCTACGAATTAAATAGCCTTCTATAATACGAGGAAAGTACATTTTAGATGATGCTATCCAAGCTTTGCGTTCTATAACAGTTTGCTTTTCTTCTTTTGGCTTGTAAAAACATTCTTCTCTTATTCTAGCTACAGCAGTTCCAACATTCCATGTATAAGTTTTTATGATTTGTTTCTTTGGATCAATGAAAGACTCTTCGATAATTGGTTCATTCTTTATAGAAATGTTGTAACCAAAATATGAAACACGAACTGTTTTTGTTAACAATCGTTTTGTGTGCAAGATTCCCTCCTCCACTTTTCGGTACAATATATCTTCAGTTCTCACATGTTTACTGAAGGGGTTGGGATAACGATACCAGAAAACGTGGGCTACTTGCAGCCATGAGTACTGGAAAACATTTTCACCTTCAAAAAATTTCATTTTAGAATTTCATTGGTGCAGTAATCACATAGGTATAATTGTTTACCAATGATTGGTCCCCAGGAAAAGAATAAAACTATAATTTCTAACACACTTATCTCATGATAACACAAAGAACAATCGCGAAAAACACAAAAAGAGCGAACCCTTAGTTCCGTTCTTCTTCTACCGGCAGACAGAATTTTTTAAAGAGCGGTTGCCAATCAGAAACATCAAAATGTCACAGAACTCTTTATTTAAAACACTATAATTATAGTCATAAATAAATTGAATATTTTCCATCAAAATATTTTGAAACTTAAAATCAATTAAATGAAACAAAAGTCTTATAAATATTTTTGAAAAGATGCAGAAGCTCTGATATCTCAACTTACCAATGTTGTGAACTAGTCTTCATGTGTCTACCGTGTGAGAGGTATATTTATGTTCCTATAAACTATTTCTGTGCATATATTTGGACCTTTTATATTATAATTTTTCGTACTTTTCTTTAAATGCGAGAATCGCATGTGCTCTTTTCTTTTATATTAGTAGTTGTATTTCATTTAAAGAAGTGTTCTTTAATGAATATAGGAACTAATTAATATTTTTCATTTAGGTAGGTTTATTAAGACAACACTTTTTAATGTTATAATAGTCAGATAAAATTTTACGTTAATTAAAGCATTTACCACATTTAAGCATTTTTATGTCGTAATTATTTTAATTTAATGCTTATTATTCTAATAAAAATCGTATTTTACTAATAATACAGCGGTAAAATGAGTTTACTATTACTTTGAGCGTGGTAAATGTGTAAAGAGTGAAAGAAAAGAAAATTGCTTAGAGCGTTGACGTGGCTTGTGCATTATTAAGAAGAAAAAAATTCAATATAAATCGGCCTTTTTAGTAAACTCAGTTCTGGTGTTTTAACAATAATTAAATAAATGTGTCCTTGTATGTGAAATAAAAATTATATCAGTTTTGGTGTTTTGTATTGTTTCTTTTGTATAAAATTATGACATTAGTAATTAGTTCGTGCTTAAATCTGTTACCAATGCCTAAGTGAATAAAGTTAGCAAACACTGGTATTGATTTATTAATGTAAACAAAACTTTTTTACTGTAGTTTTTTGCAAATCTTTTGTTTCTTCACCATCATTTGTTTGAGTTTTTGCCTGTTCGGGATTTTTGTTCATCAGTCTGCTTGTATTTGTGTTTTATGTTTCATTTTTCCTATTTTAATCTAATTTATGTATATTTTATGTATATTATTATTTATACATAATACTTTACTAGTGTACATTATTTATACACAACACTTTACTAATGTGTATTATTTTTATTTAGCTATAATAATTGTTTTCAATGACTATGCTTTTCATTGATTTGAGGCAAATGAAAGTAGTGAGGACTTATCCATTCATCTCTTCACAGTTGTTTGCTATCAGTAAAAATATAGCTACATGTTGTGCCATTGTCAATACTATATCTGTTGCTTTGCACTTTTTAATTTTATCATCAAAAGCAAATGCAATTTTTATACTTTATTGAACTTTTGTGAATGGAGCAAGTTATTGAATTTGGGACTTTTGCTTTTGGCTTGAATGCTGTTTCTCCAGCATTTTTCTGTAGATTCCTCGTGCTTGCTAGATATGTGTGTTATTGGCTGCAGTACATCTTTTGCATAATTTCACATAACAAGCCTTAAAAGATGACTTTTAGTTTGCTATTTCATGTTATTTTTCCTTCTATATTGGGTTGAAATTGTGCCCACCGTACTAGTGGACAGTGGGGCAAATGACCTTAAGGCACTATTTTAATTCTCATATGCATTAAATGTTATTTTAATGCAGTCAAAGCTATTTTAAATAATGTTTTACTTACAAATAAAATATATTTTTAAATTCTATTTTCAGTAAAATTTTGGATTTTCTCTCCTGTAGCTTCTTTTTAACTAGTTATAACAGGATCAAAGCTTGGTAAAAATACATTATAAGTATGTTTGTTGCATTTTTACTGAAGACCTTTGATTGATTATGTTTGAGATTGTCTTCAAATTTTTCTTACGTAATTCTTTCTCATGTTCTGTTGATTATCCTATCAGCATTAGAACTAGAGGATATTTAAGATATACGAATAGCAAATAGTGTGTGGTATATAATAATATGGATATTTTCCCATAAAATATCTAAATTACTTTAATTGACTCGCCACTGGATGCAACTATTAATGCTACAGTCATTATTTTAAACTCATTTGCATTTACCTTCGAGATTCTTGAAGAGTATTCAGGATTTGAAAATGTCTTATAATTTTTGCTTTCGTTTAAAATATAAAACCCAGCATATATTTGATCGCCATTATTTCAGGTTGTTCAATTTCTTCTTTGTCATCATTTCTGGATTGCTACTCATTTATTGAAAATCTGCAATGCGGCAGGCATCAAAAAAAATATCACCCATGTAAGATTAACATTCCTGATTACTAGTCAATCTACATCACTATTTCTCCTCTTTCAACAAAATTAAATGTTTTATCTTGCATCACAAATATAGCATTCCTGTATTGGTGAAGTCCCCCCCCCCAGGGGTCGACGTAGAGAACTCTGCGAAGCTACTGGCTAGGATCTGTACCTAGGCAGTCTCGGCCACAGGTGTATAAAATTTATGAACTTGGCATGTCCTAGCGCGGCGTGGAACTAGTAGCCCGGGGGACTTCCCCGGGTATGCTGGGTAATGACCTGCTGTGACGGGCAGCCCGAGGGACTGGTGGGTAGCAAATGACGACCAGTGCCATACCGAGTGACTACCCGGGCGGTGCGCCACCCTCTCTGAGGGGCCAGAAAGGAGGTTGAACCTCCGACTCTGGTCTTAAGGAGTGGGTGGACCTGTAGTGCGATTAAGTTCGTGGAGCAGGAAATGCGAATTATTGTTGTATAGGTGAAGTATTACTAAGAGAGTTGCACACTCTTTTAACCAACAGTCGTTGAAAGAAATAAATTAAGCTTACATTTAAAATTGTACAAAATTAAAAAAAAATGTCATACTTAAAAGTTGATGTATTTCCCGGACCTTAAGTATGAAAGTAAAATAGCTAACGCGATTATGAAGTCCTGCCAAACGTGAATAGTGACAGAAAGGTCAAGCAAACAGATTGCTATTTATTTAATGAGATAATTAGAAATGCAAATTAAAGATATAGTATATAAAAAGATTAATCGCTTGTCATATTTTTCACATTCCAAACAGTTTTTTATGGACAGAAGAATTACTGAACTTGAACATCCACCTTATGCACCAGACCTTGCTGCATGCAACTTTTTCCTGTTCTCTAGAGTGTAAAGTTCATTAGAATGAACACATATTCAATCTATAGAAGGAGTCAAGGCAAAAATGGCCGACTTGCTGAAGAGGCTATCATTTGGAAGTCCTGCAGCATTGCTTTGAACAGTGGAAAATGTCATGCAACAGTATATAAATAAGCAAGAGAGTATGATGAAGGGGTTTGTCAGTTGTTTGTAATAAATTTCCAAAGAGGCATATTCACTATTCAATAAGGAATTTGATTGTCGTACTTCATATGTAATAACAGTTATCATGTACACTATTTTAACTTAAAAAATAGATACAGTATAAATTTGACATCACATATAGCTTCATCATTGCACACATTAAACATTGTATATATCGTATCATTTATTCCCACAATTGTAGTCATTTTGTGATTTCATAATTATAAAGTCGGATTTCATGTTTGTATTTATGTTTGGTACCAAGTGGGACTGTATGAACAGAAAAGTAACAATTTTTTTTAATGTTTGTTATATATTAAACAGTAGATGTACTCTTATTATCGATTTAATCGGTATTTTTCTGAGTTTTTTTAGTTAACATTTAGCTTATTAAAGAGTATAATTGATATAATAAGGGATATAATGTAATCTAATGGTTCTTATGAATTATCCCATTGGCAAAATTGTGTGATTTAGCTCCAGTTATGGATGACAGTGGGTTTTAAATTCTGCAGTAATGATTGGGGGTTGGTGACCATTGCCAAAATTTCCGACAATGGTTGGCAAGATAATACACAAGTACCAATAAAACTTCTTGAAGAATATGCTAATACTTATTAAGAAATATAATATGGCAAATGAATAATTGAATTTAACATTTTTTAAAGTTTTATGGTATTTATAACAATATGATGCAGACTTTCATAATTTCAAATTATTATAATTTTGAATTTAGTATGAATTTTTGCAGTTGGTTAGAGTATTTGATTATATCCTTCTCTCCATAAACCAGTACACAAGGCAATTGTAATGATTAATGTTATGTTGAAAGAGGACAAGAATTGTAGTGGCCTTTTTACTGTTAAAATTTAATTTTTCAATTTGAAGGCATTTGGCCATAAATTGAGTAATATTTTATTTGCAGGTTATAGATTATTTGTGTACTAAAAATATTTAATAGGTTTCGTTGTGTTATATAAAGTATAAAAGTATTTTGGTGATTTAAGTCACAGAGGGCCAAATTTTTTAAATACTTTATTTTCAATGCTTTAATCAATTTTATTCGTGAATAACATTCAGCTTTTGACTGGGATTACTTTGGATGTAATGTGAAATTGTTTTTCTATGCATTTTGCCGAAAGAAACTTGGAGAAATCAATTTTAATTTGAATCATGGTGTTAGATAATAAGTAACTAAAAGCAGTAAATCATGCACTACATCTTTACATTTATTCTGTTTTGATATTAAATCATACTACAATACTATTAAGAAATCATACTACAATAACTGGATGATAGAGATTAACTTAAAGTTTCTGTTTGCTATATGGTTTGTTTAATAGTTTATATAAAAATCTTATTGATTTTATGCATTGAAAATTCTTTCTGTTTAATATTACTTTTAAGAGAAACTTCTTTCATGCATTATCATTTTTCACATTTTTGAAAAAATAGGGCATTTTCCTTTTGATCAAATTTAGCATTGTTTTTGCTAAGTAAATTAGAAATCTTAAAAGGAGATGTTAAAATATACTTTTTTCAAATAAGCATTTATCTTATTATTAAAAGTTTTTCATTAATAGTTTATCTGATTGTTTAAAAATCATTAATAAAACATTTGAGTTTTATGAAATTTGAAAGTAATTTTTTTTCAGGTAGAGAAAAAGTTTGATTTGTGTAATACCGCTGGAATTATGATTTTAATTCGAAGATTATTATACTTGACTATACCATTGCTTATAGTTGCTGATGATGACAGTAAGTTTTATGGAATTTTTTTACTGTTTTATATTTTCTTAAAATATTGTTTGTTTAACTCAGTAAAATCAGTAATTAAAATATACATCGATATATTTTGTAATTTGTAGTAAAAGTACATGATCTTATAATGATTGAAATTTTATCTTTCAATGTGATTTGATATTATTCAGTGATAAAAATTAAGAAGTGTAGTATGCATTGTGTAATTAGCATGAGATATTGACAAAAGTATGCGAGTTTGATATCATAATTGAGCATCTGATGTGCATTGGTGGATTTTTCAGTATGTTTAAAGCTTTTGTAACATTATTCAAAAATAACTATCTGAGTTTAACATAAAAAAGGAATAATTTGTTAATGTTATATATATATATTATATATATTTAATAGAGGTATTCTTTCTGATTTAAGGAGGTAACTTCCTGATAAAATAAGGAATCAAGGTTATATTACCTGAGCAGTTCAGGAAACATCTGCTGTAACATACTCTGCTTCACTTCCATCTTAATTAAAATATAATATTTCATTTATAATATAAGATACTTCATATATAATTTATATTCTTTTTCTCTTATTTATTATACCATTGCCTTTATTTGTTGAATATTGCAGTTTTCGTGATCATTTTTTCCCTATCCTTTTTTACATTTGAGGCCTGAACCGCTACTTTTAAAGCATTTCATATTATGACATTCATTTAATATGTGTCCTTTTTTTTTATATAGTTAAAGCAACTTCTTTCATAAGATTTTTTTTAACTTTGTCTTTTTATCCTTTGCTCTAGAAGTTTGCAGTTTGTCTGTCTTTTCATCTGTGTTTAATTTTACATCTGTTTTCTTTTATTGCTTATGTATTTAAAAGTTCTACTACATTAGATTTAATAATTTTCAAGTCAAAATCAAATTTTTCTAGTCAAGTCAAATTCAAATCAATCCATTCTGCTAGGAAACAATTTGGAACTACTTTAATATACGCCCTCGGTTGGCGACAAGTTTCTCGCCAGACATTTTTGGCTAGAAACTCCACACCTCTATGTTACTACTTAATGTTTTTGTTTATATTTCGAACTTTAAGCCTAAAATATCTGCAAAAACGCGATTCTCGCACGTGCGATAACCACGTTTTAAACATGCAATTTAAGCCAAAAATCTGAAAAAAAAAAAAAAAAATTAGATAATAAAAACATAAAGTTTCTAACCAAAATATTTCTGAAGAATCCATGTTAACACAGCAATATCTTAAAAAAAATCACAGAATTGCACAATCTATGCAGCGAAGGAATCTATGAACTAGGCACACCTAGCTTAAATGAATTAACATAACAACAATAAATTTCAAAGAATACCATGTACACAGCATTGTGTTTAAACTTTAAAAAAATCTACAAATTGCACAATCTAGGCAACGAAGAAATCTACGAACTACGTACACCTCGCTTTAATAAATTAACATAACAACGATAAATTTCAAGAATACCGTGTACACAGTGTTCTGTTCCAACTTTAAAAAACATCTACAAATTGCACTATCGAGGTATTGTGCACTAATCTACAAAATAAACTGAAATAACTAAAATAAATTAAAAAAAAAAAAACAAAAAAAACAGAAATTTATTTTAAAAAAACAACGAATATAACATGCTACAAATTAAGAACAAGAATAAAATAAAATGCACTTACCATGAATGAATGCTTCTTCGAACAGCAGAAACACCTATTTCATGTCGCCTTTAACATGCCGTCACATAATCGCTATCGTATGTATAAGACAGCCAGACTCACTATCCACAAAGTTGATACTATTTTTCACAAATAAATGTTCAAAACCTTCTTTTCCTAAATCCTTGTAGGATTTACAGCCATCCAAAAAAATAGTTGTACCAGGCTTCTCATATCAGCTCCACATTTTGGACACACCAAACTCCACTTCAGAAGTCCTGACTCCCACAGAATTTCCAAAAATACACTTCGATCTGTATAACCACACCCGTGAACAAAAGACTCATTAACAACTCCAACATCATACCTTTTAATACTAAATTTACTTTGCACACAATCTAAAATACATGACTGAAATTTCCCACCGCATCTTTCATTGCAACATTCCATTTCAAAACGTGCACAACACGAACCAACGAGCAAATAAAACCACTGCAGTGAAAGAGTAAGTTTCAATGTCAAAAGAGTTGCCATACAAACAACATCCTCCCCCAAAACCATCACAGAACACATAGTCGTGCCATAAACCAGCGCAGAACACATATCGCCACATTTGGCGACCTGAGGGCGCATATAAGAGTAGTACCATAAATTTTTATCTTTTATTCCATCCATTGCTTGAACTCTTATTCTTCAAAAAGCATTACCGTTTTCATGTAATCATTTAAATATTCATTGTGCTTCATTTTTAGTTGAAGTAATTCTGTTCTACCCTTATTTAGAATATCCTTTGTTTTCATTGTCATCTAATTTTATTTTCCCTGATAATTTCTTTACATTGTTCATTACATTCATAATTGCAATGTACTTGTACTGCAATTACTACATTCAAATGTGTCTATATTGTTAAACAAATTTAAGGGGCGTTAATCAATATTGCTAACCTCAGACTGTATCTGATGATAAAGCACAAAGACACTTAATCAACCATAACATATAAGCATAATTGTAATACATAATCAACAGTTTTGCAGTATATTATAATAAACCATTGCATCATTCAAACAAAAGCGATTTGATCCATTCTTGTCTTTATATCCTACTCATTTGGAGAAGTATCCCTTTCTCCCTTCACTTTTAGTTCTATTTATTTGTTGCTGTCACTGCAAAACAGCATTATTATAATCACCTTCTCCTTCAAAAAGATTTTCTAAAGGGGAAACTATATTTAAAGTACACTCTTTCATCAGCAATTATATAAATATAATTATTGTAATATATCCTTATTATAATATGCTGCAATAAAGTTTTTAAAAGTTCAGATTTTTCTTTAAAGTATTCTTATGTGACTAAAAAGATTCTTTAAAATTTAATGATTTTCTTTATAAAACAAACATTATGATTTAAATTACACTTTATCACATATAATATGCTTTCTTTCTCTACATCACAATCTACATTTCCTAAAGTGTATAAGATATTTGTTCTGTTGCATAAGATACTATTAAAATTTACTAACTAGTTTCCAAATAGTAGTACTAGGAAATATATTTTTAAACAAGGGAATATACATAGAAGCATTTCTAAATGCATTTTTTATCAAAATTAATCAGAGTAAGCAATAATATTTGTAGTTAAGATTCAAAATTGTTCAAAAAAAGGGGGGAGGGGGCAGTAGTTCATAGTTGCTGAAATATTAAATATTTTCAAAACATAAACTGTAAAAACAAACAAATCACTATTTTCATTTCTAAGCATATTTTATCCAAGCATATGTCTAAGCATATTTCTAAGCATATATCTGATGTCAGAGAAATGATATTTTTTAAAAATAGAAATAATATTTTTAAAAAAAATCACTTTCACACATTTAAAAACAAATAATTTATTGCAATGAAATAAAAAAATTTTGTATTTGTAGATATAAATTTATACCTAGTTGTAAAATATCGAAAAACTTAAGTTAAAATTATGTAAATACACATTTTCTGAGATTTGAAATGGGAAAGTTATATTACTTATATTAAATAATAGATTATAAAAATTAATAAAGCAATTGATATCAGCATTTTGCGTCTTCTATTGTAAGACATTTTCAATTGTAATATTAGCTCTTAACCCTCATGCTGCGTATCCCGCGATTTAGTAGCAAATGTAAGGCAATATAGAAGTAGCAAAATTTGCTCAACCGGTGATCTCCGCAGGGATGCATTTTCCCATTTATTTAGCTGTGTAACCTTTTCTTTTCCCATTTATGGTTTCATTTTGTGCTTTACTATGATGTTTAATTGTTTATTGAGATCTTAGTTAACAGATGGTATTAGTTGTCCGTATTTCTGTGAAAATATACAAGCATGTTTTGCAGTATGTTGCACGCTCTTTTCAAACCTCAAAGATGTTGTCATTGTTGTATTAGTATTAGTGTATTAAATAAAAGTACTTTTATTTAGCAGTTTTTATTGTTATTTAATTTTTTTTTTTTTTTTTTTTTTTTTTTTTTATTTTTCTTCATGTAGAGTTATTTGTTTCAAGAGAGGTTAACTTTCATTTCTGTTTCAGCCATTTTTATTCACTTTCATAATCAATATTTGCTGTTTATTTATCACTGACTTTTTCAGAAGTATGCAGTTTTCAACTTTTAAAAACTTCACAGTTTTCAACTTGTAAATCAGGTCTTCAGTAATATAAATCTGAAGAAATATTTTACTTTGCAATTGACTGCACTTTCTTTTCATTTGGCAGAGTAAATTCTATTTTGTGAATACAACATTTAATTTTCAATCTGCTAACAGCATCTCAGGTTTTGCAGTACTTTCCGATTATCTGCAACACCACCAGAAACTCACAAAAAGGTATTCACATGTCATCAAAAAGTATTTATATGGCAATGCAGGTATGTGCATAACATATATTTGTTGTGGTGGATGTGCAATACTGATATTGTACAATGCCAAGTTTGTGCAATTCTCTGATATTTTTTAAGTGAAAACAGATTATTGTATACATGAGGAGACCAACCGTGCAGAAAAGAATAATTTCTCGGAAAAAATAAGGGTTTTATTACAGATGTTTCTTGTTTTTTTTTTCAGTTTATTGATTGATTGCTCTTGTATAGAATTCTTAGTGTGCTGCCATTTCAAAAACAGTAGTTGTCTTTCACACATTAGCTTGCTGAGAAATGAATCATTAAGGAGTTCACCAATACTCCCTATAGTCAGCAATCATTTTGTGACTTTTTGATAGTGGGTGCAGATAATCAGAAAGTACTGTTTTTGCAAGTAAGCTTCACAGATCTTAGAACATTAATTTTTAGTTAACTAGCATCATTTCCAAACTATT